ATGCAAGCGTTGTCTCGCCTCATATGTTTGCCCTTAACTGAAGAACTGTGATAGAGGATTATATAATATAACTAATTCTCATAGTAAGTGCATGCAGGGGTGAAAATCAAAAAATACATATTTATATTAGTTCAATACATTACATGCACACATTATTAATGTATCTTTGAAAGAGACAGAAAAGCTTTTGTGAGGTACAAAATCAAAACAAAAATAGTGCGTGAAGATTTTGGAGATTCCAGATTTCGTAAACAAGTAACGATAAATTTCATTTTCTTGTGCTTCGCAACCTTTTAGCGCCTCATATTCCTGTTCGCTCCTCCTCCACGATATCCCCTTCCAGCATAAGCTAGCGGCCTAAAAAGGCAAAGTATTTGGAATTACGCAAGAGAACAGAAGTAAAATTACTACTAAAGATAAAAAGTAAAGGAAAACAAGGAGAGTAAGAAATCAAAAACATATCCAAACCTTTCAAAAGACTGCAAAGCATATTCTGGTCTTGCTACAGCTTTATTAAATTGTAATTCTGATGAATCTGTTTTCATCCAAGAGCTCTGTTGTGGAGTGTTCTGGAAGAGGAATTAAGCTAAGAAATATTTTTTCCCAAAACTTCAAATTAACCAATTCAAACTTGCCCTCATATTAGATCTGTGAGTCGTTAGATTGTAATTCAATTTTTATCTTATTTTTGACGATGTTTGTTCACAGCCGGTAAAAAAAACTGCCCACTCTGCTTCAAAGACGTGCTAGCTCGATGCCCGAAGCATTACCGTAGAAGACATATTGGACGAAGACAACATCCTGGTGTCAACTTCAATGAGAATTGCGACGAAACCCTCTCATTACAACAAGAAGCCGCGAAACAGAAAATGATATGGAATTAGTCCAACACATCGAAACCGTTCTTTAAATGAGAAGTTCTGAGAAAAATGTCGCAACCAACAAGTAAACACACATGACAAAGTAGGAGAGCACAATGATCAGGACCGAGGCGGGAAATGAAAAAAAGTCCTCTGCGCTTCCAGCTTCAAGTTGACGAACATCATGCACAGCTTCCTCACTCCGACGATCATACGAGAGAAGAAAGCCGTTGTAGGGAGGAATCTTCCATGTTCTTTTTGACTCTGACAAACACACAAGGAAGAAGAATGATATTTAAAAGTTTGCATAAACCTTACGCAGAATCTCATAATCGCAAATGCGACAAAAATTAATAAGGATATGTAATTTGAATCATCACCAAAAAGAGCGTTTGCATACAATGTCCCAAGTTAAATTAATTTAAAATTAGGTGCAACTGCGAAGAGGAGCATCTGTATAAGATGTCTTATTATATCACTAGTGTTGGACAGATTTACACACAGATCGAACTCAATCAAAACATCAATATCAGAAATTTCTATGGATTCCGGTGACACCATCTTACCTTACTGAGATTTCTCCAGCTCTCACTTTTCGTTGCAGAAGATGTGTTTCTTCGCCAGGATTCTGACGATGCCGCAGATGAATCACTGCGGTTCTGAGGCTTCGACGAACTAGATTTATCACTACTCAAGTTTCTCCATGATTCCCAACGAGGAGCACATTTGATGGAAGAGTCAAGCATAGGACTTCCATCGATAACTCCTTCACCGCTCGAGAAAGACAGCAGGGGAGATCTTACGAGAGGATTTGAGGACCGCTTCATATAATCAGAACGATCCGCAGATGACGAAATACTGCTGCGATCAACATCTCTTTCGCTCCTAAATAGAATTTTGTTATGAAATATCACGCTTCAAGTAATTGGCAGAAGGAGGTAATTTAAGACTTGATTTTCGACTTTTTAACATCGCGGGAAAAAGCGACAAAAGAACTTAAAGGTAGTGCTTAGAATATCATTTGAATAAATTCAGCGAAACAAATCGATATTGAACATGGGGAACGCTTTGTCTAAGTTAAAAATGTTGGGGATAAAGAGCACAAACAGTAAGCAACTAGTGAAGTATGAAGGACTGCACGAGTAGAGAACTGGTGGGAGAAAAGAAACAGAGAAAGATGTTTATCTCCCAGATTGGACTGATGAACAAGAATAACAAAGGAATGGAGCGGATCTATATGTCAGTTTGTCCCATAAATCTTTGTGCATGCGTAAACAATTTACTTCTTCAACTAAGTCTGAACCGCATCAAGTCTGAGCAAACGTGGCTTTGTCCCGGAGTTAAGCCCCCAATTTAGCTTCGACCTATTTGTCTTCCTAACTGATCTGCTCTGCACTTCGGACGTTGTAAATGGGCGGTACGCATTGTGGACTTTGCGTATTACCCACAAAGCAATAAATACGAGGATTGCAGACGAGGAAGTTGCAAGATGAGAGCTGTCATCACGAGTACTGGAGCGTTAATGATATGAGAGCATCGCCACTGACCACATGAGCCTCAAAGAAAAGTTTCGTCTATATCAACCCGTTGAAACTGACGACAAAGGACACTGGTAAAAGAGGAGCTACAAGCTTACACAAAACTGCATACATTTTTAAGCAAGTAGATCCTCCGATAAATAGCTCAACGAGGTGCGAATGCAATTAGAGGATTCTCATGCACAAAAAATTACAGGACACACTAACAAAAGGTTTGCAATGGAGCAATTGGCATGCTCCAAAAATTCCATAAATCTTGGGAAAAAAAATCATAGAGTCAAACGCAAGATTACTTAGATGCAGAAGGCCAAAGTCATCAAACTTCCAGAAAAAGGGGAAGGTTCGTACCAGATAAACTGGTTTCAGAGATAGTCAAGGAATCGTTTTAAAAAAAATCTCAGAAATCGCAGAAAAGGAAAAACACTGAAAGTTAGCCAGACAGATACTCAACTCGGAACAAGAACTGAAACAGATTTTTTACATCAAAATAAGATATAAAAGAGACGCACAGTTTGCTAAAAGAGCCAACATCAACTGTCGGATTCCTCAAATTCGGAACGGAAGAATATTTCGGACCGATTGATCCCATTACAACTTTCATTAGGGTATCGTAGGTTCCCTAGAAAAGATATCATATGCTCGAAACAACCTGCAGATTATCTAGCTCACCTGCTTGTTCAAAGCAATACCGGATTCCACGAGCCCCCCAGCGAGCCTTGTTCTCTCTTCAATAATCTTTGGATCTTCAGCAACTGGAAATGTTCAGGACACATATTATAAGCTTGCAGAAGGAATTCTCACTCAAACTCTGAGATACGCTGTAACCCGGTCGCGTTCGAGTAAAAGCTCTATCGTCAGCGACTGCCTCACTTCTTCCACTATTCATACTGTAAAATTGTTTACAAAGATGGTATGGATGAATTATGACAACCTTATCAGATACCTCCAAGATGCACCAGCACTACCAAACGTGTTAGAAGATCTTGTTTGTTCACGACGAGGATCTTCCGTCCATCTCTGCTTCACTTAAGATACACCATTTGATTAAGTAAACACAAAATAAGTATCGGGCATCTACCATAATTGGTGAGCTCCGCATTTCCCTCAGGCATAGGCTTCGGGTTACTTCTCCACGACTCAGAAGCTTGAGGAACAGGTGAATACAAGTCTTTCCTGAAAAAAAA